TCTAATATCCTTCGGCAGTTACTTAGCCCGGCAACACTGAAAGTTTTCGTTTTGATCAAGAGCTCATCGATTTTATGAAGTGCCTCGATGCTCGTCTCAGCTGTCAATTAGCCGTGCGTTGCAAGCACGGTGCATAATTAAATAGAATTACAGTTTAATTGTTGGCCAAGATGTATCAACACACGGGCCCGCATCTGGATTGTTTGCCTGCTGTCTGCACACACACACATACACATACACACACGTCTCATTCCTGCAGACAGCCAGGCGGAAGCACAACAAATTGGCAGCTCTCCATTCAACTTGTCCAAAACTTGTCTATTTACCCTCGCTCCTGCCCTTGGCCACGCCCCGCTCGTTGCTTCTTTTCATTTTTTGCACGAAAATTAAGTTTGTTTTCCATTAAGTTAAATAATTACAAAATTATCCACCACTCAAAGGCTTTGGCTGTAACTAAGAGTAGCTCTTGGGTGCGTGCGCGTGTGTGTGTGTGTCAGTGTGTGTGTGTGTGTGTGTGTGTGTGCTTGTTTTGCTGAAGTGGCGTAGCTGCTGCGACGACACTTAGAACACTGCCGAACCGGAGCGGCAGCTGCACTTTTCCGTGTAACTGACAATGATAGCTCTGCCTGCTTGACTGACTCATTATCTAGCCAGGGCTGCCGAAGCACCCAAAAATTTGGGCTGACGGAAGTGATGGCAGCTGAAGTAGAGAGAATTATTGAAATTTAAAGAGAGAATGGCAAATGCATCAGTAACACTTTACCTTGCATATTTCAGTCTGCTCGACATAAAGTTGTCTGCCCTGCACAGCCTCAATAAACAGAAACCTTGTAAATGATTTATAGAGTAGTGCCTAGAAAGCGAGTAAAAAAGGAGTGCGAATATTGGTCTAGTTATTGAAGAGGACAAATTCTGATTGAGAGCAGAGAATAGGATGTGGGTACAAGGATGATTTGCGTAGCATATATGACCTAAGGGGCATTCTCTTATAGAAGATGTTCATATCCATGATTCATAGAAAATTATTGATATAGTTTGCATAATTTTTACAAATTAAAAAGAATATATATTATTCTAAATTTTATATATAATTACAAATATTGATGTTTATATATATAATAAAAATTATTATATACATGACATGATATATGTTCACTATTTTGTTTACTTCTTTTTAAATATTTAAAGGAAGATAATTTTTTTTTATTTTTTTTATATTTTGTTAATAGGTGTAGTAAAATAATTTTTTCTTTTAAATAAAATTAAAAGACAAAAATAAAAAGACACACCTATTATTCTTATTCACACAGTTAGAAAAAAATTCTCAAAAATTCTAGAAATTCTAAAAAAAAAAACCTTAAAGTGTTTTACATTTGTTGTCATTTTTTTGTCTTTGAAATAAATATATACATTTATTATTATTTATTTTTTTTTTATTATTTATTTATTTGTATATTATTTTTTATTACTTTTTTTATTGTTTTTTTTTTGTTTTTTTGAGTTAATAATAATATTTGCATTATTTATTTTACAACATAATCTTTTATACTTTTTTATTAAAGTTTTAATGTCTTCTATGTTTGCTTTTATATTTAATTCCTCCTCAATTTCATCACAAGACCAGAAATCACAATAATATTAAAAACATAAGACTCAGGACCTTTTCCATTTCACATATATATAAAATTCCACACTCAAGCAAGCTTATTAACACAAATAGTTTATCGCTTCAGCTCAATTTGTTTTCAGCCCTGGCTCCCACGGTTGTTGAGTCTGGGAGAAAGTTTTGCTTCAGCGCTGCTTCATTTAGTTGTTGTTTCATTTTTTTTTTTTCGCCTGAACCAAGGCTCATTATCTTTTCATTCGTTTTTCTTTTACTTTTACATTCGGTTCCTTTCTGCATTTGTCTGCCCGCTGCTCGCTGCTCGGCGCTTTTCTTTTCTTTAACGCTTCGCTAATCAAATTCAACATTTTTCCGTTTTAATTTGACAATTCGAAAACAGGCCAGCCGACGCAGGGGGCGCTGTGTGAGAGCCAACAACAGCTGTGCGTTGTCAATTGGAAAATGATAAAGTGACGCGGCGAATAATGAAAATGGAAATTGGCATAGGAAGTGAAACTGATAACTGTGCAATGGCGTTGACAGGCCCAAGGCTCTTGCTGCCGTCGCTGCAGCAGTCCGAGCGAGTATTGAGCTGCTGCTTAGTTCTTGCTTTGTCGCGCAGCAACGACCGCCCCCAAGCCCCCAACCGATTGTCTTTGAAGGCGACCTGCAGTGCAGCTGCTGCGCTAAATGCATTACAATTAGCGCAAATTATCCGTGTCCAGTTGCAGCAATTGTCTTTAGCTGTTGGCCGTGGCAACTTGATTGAATTTACTTGCCGAGCGCGTGACTGGCCAGTGGCGACGTGCTGCGTATGCCATATCAACTATGCGACATGGCGTA